GAAGGAAGGAAGGAAGGAAGGAAGGAAGGAAGGAAGGAAGGAAGGAAGGAAGGAAAGGCTTAATATCTTATTCATACTTTGGCAATGGGGTTAAATAACCATATAACCATGTAGATTCTGATTTTAAAGATGTCTCAGAAGTAATGATAGAGAGCAAAATGTAATTCATATGGTGGTTTATAGTGGAATATCACCATTGTTTGTGCATTTGTAAAAGTACGTCTGGAGTGTCTTCATTCTAAGTAAATTCCTTAAGTGCAGGACCAGAAGCAATTTTGATAATGGACTGCTCTTTACTATTGTTTGTATCCCAAGTTGCAAGTATGCCTAAGCAGAAAACATGGACTATGGCTTTGCTTTAGATACCTTTTAGAAAAGGTCTGTAAAGGGTGATATGGCTTTCATTGATTGTGGTGTTTAAATAACCATTCATGAATAGGGTGGACAATTCAGATCATCTCATTTGAGTGTAATGTAGTTGACTATAAAATAATCAAAGATGAATTTTATCCTGTCTTTTCCTGTATTTATCTCTTTTACACTAGAGAGCAACACCTCACATGAATTGTGCTTTGCTAATAGTTACATTTTTTGGAGCCAGTGAGGCTATGTGGCATTTATTCTTTTATGTAGAACTGGCTAAGAATAACTTAAGAGGAACTAGAAATGTAGTGCTTTAAAAAAAAAGTAAAGCATAAAGAAAGTTCAAAGTTCTTAGTTACATGATATTTTTCAAATCATTAAAATACAGTTCTCCCTTTCCAATCTACTTGTTTGGCAATAAGAAGGACAAATTTTAATTTTATGCTTAGAAGCTAGATGAGATCATATCTAAAATCCTTCAGCCTTAGCAAAGAAATGCTTTGTTTTCTAAATGAGTAGAATGTCTTTAAACACCTTTAAATGCAAGGAGGCCATTCTGAAGTCACAGAAGAGTGTTTTAAGAAAGACTTAAAGAGGGTCCAAATGAATTAAGCACTAGACCAAGAAAAAGCAATGCAATTAGCTTAAAGAAGCACTGTTATTTGTTCAAGGGTCATGGACTGGTCAACAACTCTGAAAAATGTTGTAATGCCAGTAGAGCCATGCCTGGACTCCTTTATTTCCCCATCTCTATTGTGTGAAAAGTTCTAAAGAGTTCTTTTACCAGCAGAGAGTGTACTGTGATTTCATTAGTGGACAGAAGTGCATTTGTATGAAAGAGAGGATAGAGTAATCTACTATCACACTACAGGAGTACTGTGACAGTAATACTTATTAAACTATGAATATATAGTTGATTTTAACTGCAATGACTGCTATTACACTGCAGATGGCAGTTTTTTAGAGTGTGTTAACAAGGAAAAGACAGACACTCTAAATTCACTGTATATTGAGAATGAAGAAGCAAACTCCCTGGGACCTCCCAGGTCACTCCAGCCAGGGAAGCAGGTAGGCTAACTGGTTATCTTTATCTACCTCTTCTCTCCACCAAATTTATTCCCCAAGATACATCACTAGCTCTGTAGCAGACCACCTGCTGAGGCCACATCTCTTATCTGCTCCCTTCTCCAATGGAACCCACAGATCTCCCCCTCTTAACTTCCTTCCTCCCAACTTATTGCTTATCCCATCCCCCCAGCTCAAGCAGGCACTCCCTGGGAGTGCAAAGGCCACTCCAGCCAGGAAAGCCAGAGACTAACTGAAGATCTTCAACTCTCCCTCAATTCCTCCAAATCCAATCCCACAGTCTCATCCATAACTTTATACCAGTACTTCTACTATGGCCTCTCCTCACTCATTGTCCTCATTCCTGGAGGATTAGGTAGATCCTGATAGAGCACCCTCCTGTGAACTCCCTCAACCCCCACAAGAGGTGCTAGAAAGAAAATTCCAACCTAAACAGGTTGATCACACCTCCCCCCAAAAAAACAAAGAAAAATAACCTAAGAGGGGAAACACACACACACACCACCACGACCACCACCACCACCACCACTACCACCACCACAACAACAACAACAAAAATAACAAGAACCATCAAACACTGCTCATTAATATCTTTCAACAACAAGGATCTCAATTCCCCAATAAAAAGATACAAATTAGCAGAATGGATTAAAAAATAGGATTCATTCTTCTGTGGCATCCAAGAAACATGCCTCAACATCAAAGATAGATATTACTTCAGGGTAAAAGATTGGAAAAAGATATTCCTAGCTGTTGAACCTAAGCAGAAAGCTGGTGCTGCCCTTTTAATATCTAACAAAATAGACTTCAAATCAAAACTAATGAGAAGAGATGGGAAGGAGACTACATACTTCTCAAAGGAAAAATCCAACAAGAGGACATTTCAATTCTTATGGTTTACACCCCCAACACAAGAGCACCCATATTTGTAAAAGAAAAACTATTATAGCTTAAATCACATACTGATCCTCATACACACTGATAAAGGGAGACTTCAGTACCCCACTCTAACCAATGGACAGGTCATCCAGACAAAAACTAAACAGAAATGTTGGAGAAAAATGATGTTATAAACCAAATGGACTTAACAGATATTTACAGAACATTTCATCAAAGCACAAAAAAATATACCTTCTTCTCTGCACCTCTTGGATCTTTCTCCAAAATTGACCACATACTCAGACACAAATCAAGTTTCAAAAAAATACAAGAAAACTGGAATATCATCTTGCCTCCTATCTGATCACTACAGATTAAGGCTGTATGTAAACAACAGAAAACAATAGAAAGCTTACAAACTTATGTAAACGAACAACTCACTACTAAATGAAAAACTGGTCAAGGCAGAAATTAAGAAATTAAAGAATTTCTAGAATTGAACAGAAATAAAAGAAATCAGGGAAACAACAACTTTCACAATAGCCCTAAATAATATGAAATGGTTTGCAGTAACACAAACCAAGCCAAGTGAAAGACTTTTATGATAAACACTTTAAGAATCTTAGAGCATCTATAGACAGGAGGGGCTTAACAAATAGAGGATGGGTTGCAAAGTAGACAAAACCACAACAGACCCAAAGGGTATATGTACCACACGAGTAAGAAACTGATAACATAGTATGTAAAAAATCATTGAAAACTAGTTGGAAAGAAGATATTTTAATACTTAATTTGATAAATATGAAAACAAAAATGAATTTCAGCATAAGTCAAACTGTTATTTCTAACATCAAAAATATAACAATTTATTTAGACGTCAAGGAAGAGCTTGAACAAAGGGTCATAAGCCTGACGCTAGCTTAGGCTACATAGTGAATTCAAGGCCATCATAGGCTAACACAGTGAGACTCCCGTCTCAGAAAAATGCAATTGATCCATGTTGATAATGACAAAAAATTCTATGGCAGAGTAAGATAAGATGAGTAAGATAAACATTATGGTTTATGAAAACACCTTCCAATAGATTTTTGGTATATAGAAAGACAAAATAAATAAATAGAATTATTAAATAATTACAAATTATAAGTAGAAATACAAACAAAATAAAAATCATAACTGTTATTGATAATTTTTACATGAACACAGCAGTATTTGCATATCATAACTGTAAATAAAACTGTATGTATATTACCTCAAGTCTATTGAATATTAGATATTGAATATATTAAAAAGTATTCCCCATGTTGGAAACAGTCTTTTCAAAATAGATGCTACAAACAATTAATTTACGTGCTTTTAAGATGGCACAACAGTTCTGCCTTCAAAAAATAAGGGAAATACAGCAAAGTCATGCTGTAAATTTTTCTACATGATCAAAAGTTATTTAATTCTTTATATTTTAGTATTTAAACAAATATTCTAAAACATTACATACGTGTAATTCATTAAGTATCATGTTCAATGAGCATACAGTCTGTATAATATTGTTATAGTTTCAGTAAGAAAATCACAGTTACTTAAAAAAAAAATAAAAGCTAGGTGACAGTCTTTTTTCCCAGGTTTCCCAATTTCTGCTTCAATGCCTTTTGAGAATGTCGACAGGCACTCAACACAGATTCAGGAAAACCATGCCTGAGTTACTTCTTTGCATTTTTTCTGTCTATTTCTTTCAGTTTTTACCTTTCCATCTATCCTCTTCCCTTTCTTTTCTTTCTCTCTTTCTCTCTGTCTCTTCTTCCCTCTCTCTCCCCACCTTTACTTCCCTTTCTCTCTCCTTATCTCTCTTTCCTGTTCCTTCCATTCTTCTCTCGCTCATTCTCTCACTCTCTTGTTCTCTTTTCCTCTCTTCCATATTTCCTCAGCTTTGATGAGTTTCATTCCTGAGAGAAGCAGCATTAGAGCCAGGAGGAGTCAATAATCAGTTTCTTAAAGGAAAAGTAAGAATCAAAGAAAAGTTTACAACTTTTTAGAGAACCTAGCAAAATCGATTGAGAACTTACTGTCAGAGAATCAATGTGCAGTGCTGGAGACATTAATATGCAAGTGTGAGATTTATAGGAACACAAAAAGAAAGATAATGTAGAACTGAGCTTATTTAACCTTGTTTTTCCCTAATGAGACCTAGGTGCTCTAGCACCCTGTAGTACTTGCACATCTAGATCCTGGTAATTTATAAAACTGAATTGAAGCCAAAAACTGCTACCTGAGGTGCCATTGGCCATGTTACCATGTTGCAACTTATCTACATTTCTCAGTTAGGATATTCTCTACCCCAGTAACTGTAGCCAAACATTTTTGAAATTCCTTGTTACTTTTTATCTAAGCACATGTTACTCAATTCAGTCTCTAAGAGTTAATGGTTAAATGTATGTCTCTTTGGGATAGGCACATCTTTTTCATAAAGCACCAGCCAACCACAGAGGGCTCTAGGGTGAGTTATTGGGCAACTCCATGTGGGTGATCTATAGGCAACAGTTTGTGAGGCTGCTTGCTTTAATGAGGGAGGAGTGATCTACAAGCATGGCTGGATGCTTTGCTGTGAGGTAAGCCAATCCATCTTTCTCTGAGAAAAATGAGGGAAAAAAATAATCTTTCAAAGCTACTTGACAGCCACTCTGATCAATGTGCCATATTTATTTAATGAAGATGCTGTGACCTGTCCATTCATAATCATCCATTTTTCTACAGAAACCATTTCCTGACTGGCCCCATCAGTGGGGGCTGGGACTGTTAGTGTGTATCCTGGTAGAGACTGTTGACGACATAGCTAATCAGGGGCCTGCTTGCTATGTCTCAGAACACCTGAGTTTAAGGTTTTGCTGGAGGTTGGTGGCAAGCATTCATATGAATGGCATGTTCCTTGTCCTCCTGGAAAGCCTGGTGTTTGTGTGTACAGTACTATCTAAAGGCTATCATGCACAGCTTGCATTTTAAACAGAAGTTCATATTTTTCAGAAAAATTAAAAAAAAATAAATAAATTTGGGAATATCTAACTCAAGAAAAAACTTTTAAATCATTTATTTTTCTGAAATGCATTTGTGATCAACTTGGTTTATCACTTCCAACAAAAAATCCAAAGGTGACACAGGTTTTGTTTTCTATTCTCCTGATTCCCCCGACAAGGTATCACTGAAAAACAAGGATATCAAGATGGGATGTATTAGGGAAGATAGTTTGGGCTGGGATCAAAGAAAGTTTTCTGGTTAATTTATGCTGAGTAATAGCAGCTGTGTAGCTGAAGTCTTGGTGACTTTGCCTTACAGTTGGAAACAGGGCTTAGAGAGCTCAGACCTCACAGTTCTGAAATCTGAGCTTATAAGAAAGATCTCTTGAAGCCTAACCTCTCAAGGTTTGCATCCCGTGGAGGGGACTTTTCATTTACATGGGGACACCTAAGTTGCCCAGAAATTTGGTGACTTGAAAGTTAGATGTGGACAAGTCATCAAAATGTTCTGAGCCTTGGGTTTAATGCTGTGATATTAGCTAAACTGCCCTCTTATCTATGTGTAAATAGACAGAGCTAAGAAATCTCTGCCTTAATATTCTATTCTGTAATGTGTGCATAATTATGGATATCACCTTTTGGATTCAATTGTTATGAATATTAAAAGAGTTGGCAAGTGTGAAATAGTTTAAAGATTACCATCTTAGTCTTCTTTGTCCTGCTATAACACAATACCATGATATGTATAATTTATGAAGAAGGGAAGTTTATTTCTCACAGTTTTAGAGATGGATAACTTGATTGATGGGCACATGCTCTTTCATGCAGCATCAGAATACATCAGAGGGTTAGAGAGAAAAAGAAATGTAAAGTTTCAAGATCTTTGGTAATGGGCATAAATTCTCTTATGAGGGCAAAACCAATGAGACCCAAGTAGCTCCCATGAAGACCCCATTTCCCTCATGGTTGCCATGGCAATTAAGGTCCCAACTTGGATTTATAGAGAACACATTCAGACCATAACAATTAACTATATTATGGTTAAGGTTAAAGTGTACATTTCAAGGCTATATGATATTCAAAGGAATGTAAGCTTCAGTAAATAAGAGCAAGCAGCTGTAATGATAGCATAGTACCCCATGTAATGTTGTTAAATAATAGGGTAATCCCAAGTAGTTATAAAATTAAGATTGTTTCATGCACCTGCTCAGTAGCCAGCAGCAAGTTGTGGTTGTGTAGTCTAACTTTTCTAGATGAATAACCCACATTTTCTATATTTATGATCTGTTAATATATCCCTTTCAGAATATGTAGACCCTTTATTTCTTCTCTTTCTGAATTATAGATTTTACCTTAGTGTTAAGCTCATTTACAGTTGTAAATTTTATCAGGCCTGAAATGTCCTTCTTCATCTTCTACAAGTGCTTCTACTGAAGCTTTGAGACAGATAATTTCTATGCTTCTTGAAAACCAATACATTTTTCTTAGACTATGGAAACTCTTCCATAGAGTCAACCAAAATACTATATTTTAGAACATCCTCTAAACTATGTGCTATATTTAAAATATAATTATACATCACCTATCTACTGATTTCATTTAGGCAACATAAAAAAAGTACATTGAATCTCAACTAGCTTCATTTCTGTTGTAAATGTGCCTGCAACACAGTGTACTTAAGAGTAATCTGTGGTCCACAATGCTCAATGGGCAACACCAAAAGCTGTGGGCCCAGGATGGGGACCAAATCTGACCTTGGTTAAAGCCCACAAATGCAGGGACTTTTGCAGCTCCTGTTGCAAGTAGCAAGCCCAGGCAGGAAGCCCAAACTGACCCAGAGTAAGGCCCATAGGCACAGAGAGTTCCACAGTTTATGACTGTGGACTCTGCCAACCAAATATGGAGGATGTTGTAAGTCCCACAGGTACCTAGAAAGCTTCACAACTTGCTGTGGTGGAAGCCACAGCCCAGAAAAGAAACTCTAACTGTTCAAGTCATGAAGGCACTTCAAGAGAATGAAAGCAAAGAGGTGAATGCATTTATCAGGTCCATCTAAGATACAAAAATAAAATCCAGTAATGGGATAGAATTACTGAAGTAAGAACAACAAGAACAACAAAAACTGGCAAGTCACAAGAATATATTATAGAGATTCAGCTGTGCATTAAAGCTATAGTTTTGAAGAACCAAAGCACCCCCATTTCAAGCAAGCTCCTTACCCCAGCTTGAAACTGGCCTGAGTTTCAAGATTCTCAGAGCTGCTGACATAGGTCCCAGGACAAAGTCAGAATGTTTGAAGAGCCATCTGCTAGCAATTGATTAACCATAGAATGTCTCAGTGCTGGAGATGGTCAAAGTACAAAGTCAGGATGTTTGAAGGACTATCTGGTCACAATTGATTAACCACAGAATGTCCCAATGCCAGAGGTAGTCTATAAAGTTTGACAAACAACCGGTTAAAACTACAAATTAAGATAACACAGAAATTCTGGAAAGCCCCTAAAACTTGAGCCAATCAGGACTGTACCCATACTAGCACCTCTAAGTGATGTAACCTTATGGTTTTTGCCTTTAAAAACTGAGCTTACAGAGGGGCAGGCACCTCCTCCAGTGTCTACTGCATTGGGTGGCTTGACAAGGTCCCTGATGGGTGGCTTGAACTGCTTCAATAAACCTTGCTTTTGCATTTTTGTGAGTTCGTGTCTCTGGTGGTTTCTTTGGGGATCTCTCGCACAGGGTGCAACACTTTGACCCCCCAAAGATCTGTCAAAAGACAAGCCATTTATTATGAATATTTGTTGTTATCCAGCCTTTAATATTTCAGCTGTCTTCTGCTATAAAATTCTTGTGTGCCCAGACCTATTGGCAAACAGTTCATCTCCTCAGACCTGCTGAATTTCTAGGTAACTACTTCCCTGCTGGAACCAATACTTGGATAAGGTTGCAGTAGCAGAAACAATCTGGCAGTGACATTTAGCTTTGCTTCCTGAGCTTCCTGAGCTCTTGCCTTGAGGCCTAGTGGCTCTCCAGAGCAATTGACTGAGAACAAAAGAGGTTTTTACATATCAAGGTGGAAGGTAGAGCAACATTCCTGAGGAGACAGAGAAAGAAAGTACAGGCATTTTTCTGTAGAACAGACAGTATGGCATGACCAGGGAGAAGAAAACACAGAGGTAATCTAGATGGTAAGGCAGAACTCTTGAGCCAGGAGTATAGAGCAAGTAGAATGGAGGGAGAAGAAACAGAAGATGAAGATGAGGTAGGAAGCATAAGAACTTAAGTCATTAGCAGGACTATGGTAGGGAACCAAATGGAACTGAAGCTATATAGACAGGATTTCATCCCAGAGAAATAAAGTAGATGGACAAAGAGCTTGGTGTATCTAGATTTATTCATGTCCTAAATACTTGACTGAGTTGTACCTGAATTGCTAAAATTTTGTCTTAGAAGAATAAAATTAACAGACATAAGAACATAGTATACATAGATTTTTTCCCTCAGATATTCCACGCTGGACATAGCAAAATGCCCAGGACCCTGGGTATTCCATTAAAAAAAAAAACTAAACTGAAACTATGCTGGAAATGAAAACTTCAATAAGCCAGATGAAGAGCTCAGTGGAAATCTCACCAGTAGAATGGGTCATGTGAAATATAGTATCAAGGCTGGAAAACAATGTAGATGAATTGGAGCATTCAATGAAGGTTAGTGATGAATTTTTAAAATAGAATATGGGAGAGATATGAGACACCATTGAAAGAACAATTGTTCAAAATGCTGCAATAGAAGAAAACCAATACTGCACCAAAGACATAAAAATATTTCAATAAAATCATAGAAGAAAGGTTTACAAATCTAGAGAAATAGATAGCATTTGTAGTATGAGAGACCTACAAAATACTACTAAATGGGACCATACAGGAAATTCCCTATGACCTATTATAGATAAAATTCTAAAAACAGAAAAAAGGGGTAATAAAAGCTACCAGAAAGAAGATTCAAGTAACTTATAGAGACAGGCCCATCATAATAATGCCTACTTATTATATAGAAACAGTCAAAGACAAAAGGACTTGGAAAAACATATCACAATTGCCAACTCAAACTACTATACTCAGGTAAACTATCAACTTGGAGGAGAAACAAAATCTTTCAATGGAAAAAAATAGACAAATTTAAGGTCATTAAGCCAACTCTACAGTTGATACTGGAAAGAAGGGTAAACACACCAAACATGATATATAGTATAAATAAATAATATCAGGACAATTAATCCAAAGAAAACTAAGAAAACATCACAAAATCAACAAATTGTAGTAATTAATAAACATCTTCCAATAATAACTCTGAATATTAATGGTGTCTTTTAATTTTAATTACCCTTTTAAATGACATATAATCACAGATTAAATTTGAAAATATGATGCTTCTCACTCTTGCCTCAAAGAAACATACTTCATCAACAAAGGCAGATAACATTTTAGAATAAAGGGATGGGATAAAGTTATTCCAAGTAAATGGAATTAATAAATAAGCAGGCACAGCTATTCTAAGATCTGAAAAAATAGACTTCAACCCCAAAAGTCAGAAGAGATAAA